CATTAAAAGCCTATTACTTATCCTCCATATTTGCGGGCATCACTGTCGCATCATAGGAATTGACATGGGGCAATATACCCCACAGTAATTCTATCAAGTCTTTATAGTTAGGTTGTCCATTTGAACCTAAATATTGGGATCTCCAATCAACTACGTTGGGTTTCCTTTATATTGACTTACCCATTCAAGGGCTTAAGTCTCATTCCTCTCGATGATTTTTCAACTAACTTTCTATTTAATAATTTGATTAGCGAATCCGCAATGTTATCATTTGACTTTACGTAGTCAATAGTGATAACTCTAGTTAATAGATTTCTTCCTCTAAGTCTCAATTCAAAAATGTAGTCATAACATCCATTTAATGTACTTCAAGATTTCGTAGAGTAGCAATCGCAAGTATCATCCAAATAGATATTATTCTCATTATTGGAGAATATGTATCAAAATAATCAAGGCCTTCCCATTATCTATAACCTTTTATTACTAATCTGGCGTTATACTTTTCAATAGTTCCATTTGCTTTCATTTTTCGCTTGAAAATCTATCTGTAGCCCAGTGGTTTACTTCCTGGAGGAAAATCTACTAGCTCCTACGTATGATTTTACAAAATGAAATCTATTTCACTTTTAATGGCCTCTTTCCATTGAGATCCTTCTGAGGAGTTCACAGCTTCTTTATAGCTTTGAGATTCACTTTCAAGCATATAGGTCAGAAAATCTGGATCATAAGATTTTTCTATCCTTTTCGTCTTGGTATGTCTTGGTTCAACCTCAACCTCCTCTTCTAGTTCTTGGTCCTGACTATTTTCAGTTATAGTCTCATGTGTTCGTTTAGAAGAGCTTGCTTCTTCTTTGGACATGTATGGAAATACATGTTCAAAGAACGAAACATTTTTCGATTCCATTATTGTGTTTTTGTGTATATTTGAGATTTTAGATTTATACACAAGAAACCGATAAACACTACTATTTTGTGCATATCCAATGAAGGAGCAATCTACAATTTTCGGGCCTATATTTACCCTCTTTGGTGTTGGGACAGTCACTTTAGCAAGACACCCCCAACACTCGTAAGTATTTATAGGAAGACTTTCTTCATTTCTATAAATCATAAGGGTTCTTTTCCATTTTCTTTCGGGGCACCTTATTTAAAAGATAATTTGTTAACAACACACCTTCCCCCCCCACATATTTTGAGGTAATCCATAATTTATTAGCATTGCATTCATCAT